CCTATAACAACAACGCCAACATGCCTATGCAGTGTACAAAAGTTATTACCTCTTCATATAACACTATTGTACGTGTTGCACCTTAGCTACTTCTTTCCTTTGAAATCTAGCTCGCCATAACTCTTGAGCCAGTTTCTGAACCCAATGTTCTTAACTCTGCTTTCAAATGCATCATATTGATGAACTCATGACTAAAGAGCACTTTACCCCCTGTCCTATGGATGCTCCAGAGACAGAGAATATATGTCCTAGCTTTTCTCTGCCCTTTTCTTTACTAGCTTTTGCAGACTTATGCAGAGTCATTGAACCTAAAATTAACAATACCACATGTAGCAAAACATACCCTGTGATACAGTATGACTTTTTTTGGAAATAATATGATGGCCCTTGGAGTGAAGATTGACTTAGCTCCATGGCCATGGCAACTAACTGAGCAGAACGATAGAGGTAGACAGGTCTATGGTAATGGTGACTGAGTTGTAGACACTCTCAAGTAGAAGAAGGAGAGGGAGGAAAGGGTCGAGTACTCTCACACTGGGATTCTTGACATTATTCCTTCTCTATCACCTCATCTAAATGTTATCCAATCAACCAGGAAACTGGGAAGAGTTAACTCCAGAGTTTAGCCTCCTCTTCATCAGGACAAAGTGGGAACTCCTAGATCTCTTCTCCCTTAAACTTTTCACTGAGTGGTTCCATATGGACTCTGGTGGGTAAAGCAGGCATTCTAACAGGTAATTTCAGTTCCTTTCCTTTGACTCTTAGTAGTTTGTTTGCGATGGTTTGAATGAGAACATCTACCATGGGCTCAGATACCTGAATACATTGTTCCCTATGGTGCTGGTTGAATAGGTTTAAGAGATGTAGGCTTAGAGATGTAGGCTTGTTGGGGGAAGTAGGTCACTGGGGGCAAGACTTTAGGTTTCAAAGTTTCACACCATTTCTATTTTGCTCACATGGCTTCCTGCTTGCAAGAAGATGTGAGCTCAGCTTTGTGTTTCCGTCACCTTTGCCTGGCTGATGTCATGCTTTTCTACTGTGATGGGGATAGGACAGATCCCTCTAGAACTCTAAGTCTGAATAAACTTTTTCTCTAACCTGCCTTGGGTATGTTAGCACAGCAATGGAGAGCAAATTAAGACAGCTGTTGAACAAGACCTGTATCTAAAAGCTCTGATAACCCTAAGAGGAGTGGTTTATTATAAAGAGAAATAGAAAGAGTTACGAAGTATGCATTAATCTATATGGTGTTTAAGGTCTTGCAGGTGCTAGGGAAATGACTCAAATAGTCAGTTGAATGATGTGCAAACATGAAAACCTGAGTTTGATATCCAGAACCCAGGTTCAATTAAAGTTAGGGTGGCAGGACATGATGATTATCTCTCTTCTCTGTAGAAGCAGAGACAGGTGGATCCCTAAGGATCCCAGGTCAGCTGGCCTAGCTAGATAAATGAGCATCAGCACAAATTGAGGTAGATAGCACTTGAGGGACAGCACCTCAACATACTCATGCAGACATGAGTACCAGCACAGATACAACTGTGCTGACACAGGAGGAGTGGGGAGAAGGCATCTTGACAAGTCCCCCTGGAAGCGTGGCGTAGGTGATGGAGTTAAATTCGCTCATTAGTGATTCAGAGGTTAGTGAACTAATAATAATAAGGTCAATAGAGGGGGAAACTGGGATCTGAGTGGTTGGCACGGTCAGTGGAATGTTCAAGAGAAGAAAGTACAGGAGTACTTCACCTTCAGCAAGTGAGAACACCTGTTATCCCCAGTTGTTCCTATGCAATCAACTAAGCCTTGGCAATTGTACTTTGAGAGGAGGCACACAGTGGTAGTGTGTATATATACTCAATTTTCAATGGCAGCCTCCATCTTGCATTTTCTCCTGTGTCAGCTTCTCCAATCACACAGTATGAAGTAAAGGCATTTTATTCTGAGCCTATGAGTCTGTAAATACCATCTAAATCCAGACACAGTGAGGGAACCTATGATTCAAACTCATGAGGGAACCTGAGTGCCTGGAATAGAGGATGTTAGATGGTTTCCTTTTTGTTTGTTTGTTTTGTGACACAACCACCTACAAAACCTTCACCCTACTCTTCCTACTCTTGAAAATGATATTTAGACATGACCACTCCTCTTGATGGCTCACTTAATAGGATCTAGAGTCACCATTGATACAGATCTCTGGGCCAGTTTGTGGGGGGAGACTCCGGACTGGTTTAGTTGAAATGGAAAGGCCTAATGTTAACGTGGGTAGCACCATTTTCTGAGCTAGGGTCCCAGAATGAGTAAAAAGGAGAAAGTAAGCTGAGTCTCAGTATTACTTCCACCTGCTTCCTGACTATGGACACAATGTCACCAGCTGCCTCAAGCTCCTGCCACCATGACTTCCTATCATGACACATTACACTTTTAGACTCTGAGAAAATAGATCCTTCCGTCCCCAAATTTCTATTTTCTGTATAAAGAAAAGCAATTTACATATCCCTCTTCAAAGATGTTCTGAATTTTTTCCTTGATTATCTATTGCATCAGGACCATATAGATTGAAGTCTAGTGGTTCATAGAGATTTGTCCTCTATCCAGAACACAGAGATTTATGTGAAAGTCTCTATAATGCTGTAATAAAATTAACTGCTAAGTAAAGAGGGGGACCAAGAAGAAAGAGGTTGACATATGACCTAAGTCAACATCATCTGACAAGAGTTTGAGGTGATGGTAGCATCTAAAGGAGTTTACTTCTGTACCCAAGCAGCTCTGTGACATTCTGAGCTCATGATCCACATATTATAGAAGCAGATGGAGACATTGCTTCTTCTTTTTCTGAGATTTTTTTGTGTTCCTCTATGTGTGTGAGTGTGTGTGTGTGTGTGTGTGAGTGTGTGTGTGTGTGTGTTTATAGTTTGGCTGCCATACTCCAGGTACTATCCATCTATTTTGTTTGATTAGCTATTTGTTTTCTTGATATTTTATTTTTTTGGTTGGTCTTTCCCCTTGGACTTCCCTGATGTTCCCCAAGGACATACCTGGCTCCACCTTGCCAGTTCTGTGAGTTCAAGACCATGCCACCATGCCAAGATATTTGACTCAGGTATGGGGGTGCGGGAGATTTAATTCATTACTTCATTCCAGTGGGGCAGGCACTTTACTGAGTGAGCCATCTCCCAAGCTGTAACTTGCTGGTCTAAAACAAGGTTTTGATTAGACCTTAAATTTCATTGAACTAACTGATTCTTAACCTATAACAGTTCCAATAACAACAACAACAAAGAAAACACTATGTGAAAAGTAATTGTCACAGATCTGAGAAAAGTATCACAGGGATTCTCAGGTATAATTGAGAAGCACTTGAGGAGAAGAGAGAGTAACCCTGCAAATATTAAAATCACAGGCTATCTGAAATTTGGCCTAGACACAAAATGTGAGTGACTGTGCTATATGCACATTTACATAAGCAATAAAGTGAAAACTGAACAGCTTGTCTGGAGTTTGGAGCTCTTGTAGACCCAATATACTTGAGAACTTAGACATCCTCTCACATGACTGAGCTGGTGGAGGAGAGTATTAGACACTGAGTGTCCTATGTTTGAACTTTGGTCTTGCTATTTGACAGAGGTGTATAATATTGGGAAAAAATCATTTAACTCATCTGTAACAGGCACTTCTCAACCTCAAGACACATAATCTTATAGACTATCAAGATTATTGTGAGAATTATATGATCACTAAGTCAAATGCTGTAAGAAAAATAAAACTTTTAATTTGATGTTAAAGATCACTAAGTGATGGTAAATGCACTAAAACATCAGACAAAGAGAAAGAAACCAGACACACATCCTTCTCTCGAGGCTCTTCACCAACATGTGTATTTCACACATCTGAGGAGCTGGTTTGGTGGCAAAATGCATGTCCAAAAGTGAGAGGACCTGAGTTGATCTCCAGAACCCACATTTAAAGGCCCAATGTGGTGATAAAGGCTTGTAATGCCAGCACTAGGTTCACAGAGACAGCCATTTCCAGCTCTACAGCCAAGCTTACGTGGCTAATTCTGGGCCAGTAAGAGATCCAATTTCAGAAAATCAAGGTTAGTGACAACAGTGAAAGTTCTTTTCTGGCTTCCACACCGATGCATGAGCACTCTTACACAAAAGAGCAACTATGATGGTAGGGTTTAAATAAGTCTCTGAGACCCAAGAGAGGGTCGCACTTACACAGATAAGAGGACATAACCACCACTGTCTTCCTTCCTGCTCAAGAAGATGTAGTGTGTGCCCTACTGAAGCTCTCCACAACCCAAGAACCACATTCAAAGGGTGTGGCCCCCACCACAAGTTCACTGGCAAGTCAAGATGCCACTACACATCTATACACACACACACAAATACACACACACACACACACACACACACACAGTGTCAGATGTATAGAAAAAAAACTGACTAAATAGCAAATCTCATATTAAATTGCATTCCTTGATTAGAATGTAAAGTTCAGAATACAGTTATTGATACCAACCTTAGTATTAGTCCTGAACATGCATTTTTATTTATTTACTTATTATTTATTTGTTATTTTGTATAGGGGTGCCCTGTTCCTACATATATGCACCATGGACAGGCAGAGCTCACAGGCGCCAGAAGAGAGCATCAAATAATTTGGAATTAAGAACAGTTATAGCCAACACATGGGTGCTAGGAAACAAATCCTGGTCCTTAGGAGGAGCAGCCACTGCTCTTAATTGCTGAGCCATCTCTCAGACTTCCTTTTTCTTTCTTTCTTTCTTTCTTTCTTTCTTTCTTTCTTTCTTTCTTTCTTTCTTTCTTCCTTCCTTTCTTCCTTCCTTCCTTCCTTTCCTTCCTTCCTTCCTTCCTTTCTTTCTTTTTTATGCAGCCCTAATTTCCATTGCATTGATCATCTGCATCTTTCTCTCTTAGCTGCAATTCTGTGCATCAGATTTCCCACTGCTTTAGGAAAACTGAAGCTTTCCTTACCATTCCTCTGTGTCTGCATCACAATTGCAGAAGTGTCGAATGTCCAGGCAGCTCTCCTCTAGGCCACATCCACACTGCTGGATCCCAGGAACAGAACCTCCCCAGTAAGGATGCTTTTCATTGGATCTCCCAATCCACCAGGTGAATGGGGCTCCATCTGAAAGACAAGATGTTTCATAAGTTAGGAGTGCAAGCTGAAAGAGGGTGCACTATGGGGTGAGTGTGTGTGTGTGTGTGTGTGTGTGTGTGTACATATGTACAGTCTTCCCTGCTCCCCTTTTCTTATTTTCTGGCTTACATTTTTTTCTTTCTTCCTTTATCTCTCTCATTTATCTGTTTTCATATGTGTGTGTGTGTGTGTGTGTGTGTGTGTGTATGTGTACATACTAATGCACACATGGAGTTATTCATGTATTAAAACATTTTTATTGAAAGAACATAAGTAAATATAGATGAATGACACATTAAGAATCAGGAACAATAACTCAAATTGATAAAAAAAATTGACAATAATACCACTTAAATGGATCAGCTTAAAAACATCAAAACCTATATTTTCAAGTTTAACAGTGCAAATTTTGCAGTTGAAATGATGTATAATAGAGATTTGACATAGCTTTAAGCAAAGTAAGTTAAATTTTCAACATATAGAATGCCTTCCTTATTTTAAAAAAAAGTTTTTAAAAGTCACTGTAAGTGGGTCAGTGCCGCATGTGCTGACAATGAATAGTTAGGTCTGAGTGCTTTCCCACTAGCAGTCAGTGGAATTAAAAGGAAAACTGAACTTTTACAACCACAGCCTCAAAGAAATAATATATTTGGATGCTTTTTGAATGCCAAGAAGGTCTATGTCAATACACAGAGGGTTAAATGCACATATTCATCATGAAAAAGAAAAAGGAAAAAAAAAAAAAGAGACTATAGTGAAGTCAAACCTAGAAAAAGGTAGCTGTGTATTCTCTCATGATTTGTGTGCCATGTCTCCTGCATATGTTCTACAGCATCATTTTAATTACCCACCATTACTCTCTTGGCCTTCTTCATAAAATTTGAATCAGCCTTTAAGCAAACAGCAAACACACACACACATACACATACACACACACACACAACTCCATATTTAAGTGGATAGAATGAGATCCCGTTGAAATTATCCAATACATAATAACACAGTAAGGGCCAATATTAGCCAGTGCTGTGTTCTTTTTGGTAGATATCAAAGAGGGTGGAAATAGAATGTAAGCACATGTGAGAGGGGTCCTGACCCATTGATTTGTCTCAGTACCAGAAGCAAAATGAACTCATGCCCTGATCAAGAGAAGTTATGAGCTTTCAAGTTCACAGACTTAAAAGGAAGAGAGTCTGTGAAGATCATATCCTGGAGATATTCGGTGAATTATGATTCACTGAGAAAGAGGTGTGGGGGAGAAGGAGCTCAGAGTCCTGATTTCATTACCTTTCTGCTGTCTTTAATGCTTGGGAATACCACCGTAGCTATAGCTAACATTCGGAAGATGATAGTACAGCCCAAACAAGAGCAGCACAGATATGGGGCCCTGGACAGCATCAGCTGAAGGCACCAGATCTGGCTTCTACTGGCTGTCTTCCTTTTCTTGGCAAGTGCCAAATACTTCATATTTAAAAGAATAACAAAATATAGGCTCTTTTACTCATTTTCGAGATATGCAATTCCACACTTGACCCTGGGGATATAGTTCAATGAATCAGAGCACTGTGCTTGCTTAGAATGCAAGAAACCCTGGGTTGAATTTCCAGCAGTATACATGTAAACTAGGTACAGTGGTGCAGGTCTGTGATCCCAGCACTAAGGATGTGGAGAAAAGATGATCAAAAGTTCAAGGTTGTCATTAGTTACTCAACAAATTAGATGCCAGCCTAGGCTGCAAAAGATACTGCCTCAAAGCAAATCAAGTAATAATCATAAAGTAGTGGCAAATTTCAGTTTGTACATGTTATAATAAGAGACTTTCACACAAGCAGGATGTCATTGTTCAGGGAAATCCTTATTTTCATATAGTTACTATCTACATATACAAAGTATGCTCTTCCTCCAAATTGTTTACACTTACACAGCTAATATGTCCTGGAAGTCTTTGAGGCAATCAGGCAGAGAGAAGACAGTCAGAAGCCCAATGCTTTAACCCATGAGAAAAATAGAGGAAGGTCTTTATGAAATTGGGGATATCTCTATGAAATGGCGGAGGTCTTTATGAAATTGGGGAGATCTCTATGAAATGGGGGAGGTCTCTATTAAAAGGGGAATGTCTCTATGAAATAGGGGAGGTCTTTATGAAATGGGGAGGTCTCTATGAAATGGGGAAGGTCTCTATGAAATGGGGGATGTCTTTATGATATGGGGGAGCTCTTTATGAAAAGCATAGTTATTTTGAGGGTCTGCTTCACTGAGAAGAGCTGAAAATGTCTGCTGACATTCATTATCAAGTCTGGCTTAATTTCTACACAACCTGTAGTACTGCCTTCCTGCTTAGAATTCCCCATGTGGATGATTGCTTACTAGGACCCTTCTCTTAAGGCTTTTCCTGAATGACAAAATCATCTCCCTCATTTCAGGTAAATCCTGGTTACAAGCCACACTCAAGTGGCCTGAACAGCTGACAGGTTACCTTATTTTAACTGTATACTAATAAAGGAAAAGGAAGAAAAATATTTAAATATGTCAATATTTAAATATGTGTATGAAAGTTGATGGCTATTATTTTTTACATTTTTATTCCTGATAACCCATCCATACTGTTTCACATTGTAAAGTAATAGAGAGAAGAGAAAATGAGGAAACTGAGAACCACAAACACTATGTTGTTTGCCTTAATTCCCAACTCAATCATAGTCAAGAAAATGACCTACACTTTAACAGCAATTTTTGGCCTTTGGAGACATTTCTTTTCTCTTCTATTGACAGAAAACTGCTCCATCAGTGAAGAAATGAAATATTGTTATTTATTTTTAAAACAGTGAGTTATTGTACAAACATGATGCATTTCATCTTTTTTGGATTCTATTCTAAGTACTATATCATCAGGGATAAATCACAGAACAAAATCAAAGCAAAGAAACAAACAAAGCATGCCTCTGAGTTTATATTGATAACAGGAAAAACACATAAAAATTATAGCCTGAGGGGGAGAAACTTTAGACAATCAAGTGCTGGCCTTATTTTTTGTTTGTTTGTTTGTTTTGTGTTATTTTGTTTTGTATTTTGGTTTATTTATTTTGTATAATGTTTGGCCTCCATGTATGCCCACAGGTCAGAAGATGGCACAGATCTCATTACAGATTGTTGTGAAGCACCATGTGGTTGCTGAGAATTGAACTCAAGACCTCTGGAAGAGCAGCCAGTGCTCTTAACAACTGAGCCATCTCTCCAGCCCAAGTGCAGGCCTTGTTAACTAAGGACTTGAGCTCTACCCCCAGAATCTGCATGGCAAAAGAAGAAAGGAAAAGTCCAGACACAATGGTCCTCCCTTGTGACCCCAGTACTGATTGGAGAGGTGATAGAGACAGATGTATGTGTAGGCTCCATGGCCAACTAGCCTAGACTACTCAGAGCTCCCGTCAAGTGAGAAGGTATGATGGCAAGCACCTAGGAGCAACAGCCAGCATGGATCTCTGACCTCTACATTCAAGTAAACATGCATACACAGGCACACGTGCACAAAAATAGAAATAGATACCTGTGTGTCTGGTGGGGGAGGTGGAAAGAAGTAGGAGGAAGACAGGGGGAAAGGATAAAGAGGAGGAACAAGAAAAAGACAGGAAGGAGGAAAGGAAGATGAGAGAAAGGAGAGGAATATTAGCCCATAGTTGTTTCTTCACAAACTATTGAAGAACAATACTGTATCTGCATTCCAAACATCAAAGATCAATTTCAGAAGTTTTAGTATAGAAAATATGCACGATGATGCTCCTAAGTTTCCCTCGATGTGTGAGAATATGTTGTTTCCAGAAGAATGGCTTAAGGAGAGAAGAAAAGATGATATGTGTGAGCTTCTATGCACATTCACATGTGTGCAGGTGGAGGACAGAGATGAGTGCACAGTCTTCCTCAACTTGTGCTACATCTTACTTCTTAAGACAGGATCTTAAGAAACCTGGAATCTGGAATATATCAATGAAGCTAGACTAGTTGACCAGGAGGCTCCAAGGATGTGCTTGTCTTTTTCCGTAAAACTGGGGCTGCAGATGCTCCTGGGCATAATTTGCATTATACCACCACATCAGGCCCTTCCTTTTTCTTTTTTATTAATGTGAGTTCTGAGCATTGAACGCAGGTCCTCCTAATTGCAAAGCAAACACTCAAGTCATGCAGCCACCTCCCCCTTCAGAAAACAATCCGTTGAATAGAATAATTAGGCATGAGCATATTTTGTGCAGGTTTGGGTCAATTATGGTTTTCCTGCTACAAGAAATCCACATGAAGTCATGGACGGCCTCTTTGCACAATTAGGGTTTAATGAACAGAATTCAAATTGGAGACGCTCTTGAGTTTTGAATTGTTCAAGTTTTAAAGACAGTAAACACATAGCCTCTCAGTGATGCCTGCACAAGAGCCAGGGCAGTTTTGTTGCATCTACTTCAAGGAGCAGTGCTCACAAGCATTCTGAGAGAGGAGCTAGGGAGCTCTGGAGTTCTGAGACCTGCTGTGCTGAGCTTCAGCTGCCACTGCTATCATCATGTTAATCCATTTTCTTTTGTTTTGCCTCACATTCTTCAGAGAATTGGTTTTCTTTTTTCCCGTTTTTAATTTTAATTAAGACACAATTACATCATTTCTTCACTGCCCTTTCCTTTCTCAATCCCCTACCATATCCCATTCCTCCCTTTTACATTGCTAGCCTCATTGTTTTATTAAATATATGTGCATAAATATATAAATGCAACCCGCTGAGTCTATTTATTATTGCTTGTTTTCATATGATTTCTGGGCTGACCACTTGGTACTGGAAAGCCAATTAGGGGGCTCATCCCTGGGAAGTGCTAACTGGCCCTCTACAGATTTTCCCTGTCTACATTAGCACGTATTTTGGTATTGTCATTATTCATGTCTTGTTTGAGCAGTCCTGTTGTTGATATATCATGGGTGCAGCTTCCCTGTCATTCCTAGGAAAAACAAATTCA